CTTTATTTCTTTCTTTTTTCCCAATGTGTGTGAACGTTTATATATATATATATATATATATAAAGGAAACAGAAAAGAAAGTACATATCATGCCACCATTCAGTGGAAAACAAAAAAAGAAACAGCTGCAGGAGAAGCGGCAGCGTAAACGACAACAAGATGAGGAACGTACGGAGACTCAAGAAAGATGTTATGCAGAGAAGGACTATAAACATGGAACTAGCAATATCCGAAGTAAAAGCGAAGATCAACTCAACAGCAGTAATGATAATAATAATAATAATTCTGTTAGTGGTGGTAAGAATCAAACACAAGAAGAATATAAATACGGTGCGGATCGTCGTGGAATTCGAAGCGTATTTCTAAAGGAAACTGCAGAAGAGATTGCGGCTCGGAAGAAACTCTCATTTGAGCCACTTACGAAGCGTACATTCATGGATGATAATGGAATTCCCTTTGGTTCGTGGTTTAGTATGCCAGGATACACAGATGCTGCTATCATGCCATTTGCTTTCGAGATCCCAACACGTGGATGGACACCAGAAGAAGAAGAAAAAGAAAAAGAAGAAGAAACAACAACAACAGGGAAATCAGTAAAAGTACAAGGTAAACGTAGTACTAGTACTAATAGTAATAGTAGTAGTAGTAGTGATGAGAGTAATAGTGAGAGGGATGAGAAAAATGATGAAAGTCTTCTTGAAGCTCGTGAGGCGGCCCGCTTTAAGGCGTACTTGTCGGCTGTTGACAATTACACACTTCCCCCACCGCTGCAATCACTGCGTGTGAGTACATATGAACGTAATTTAGATGTCTGGCGACAACTCTGGCGGACGGTGGAGTTGAGTGATGTTGTTGTGATTGTCGCCGATGCGCGGTATCCAATTGTGCATCTTCCACTATCACTCCTCCATTACATTGTGCGGGAGAGTTGTAAGCCGTGTGTGATCTTGTTAAATAAAGCCGATCTCGTACCAAAACAGATTCTAGATAAGTGGATGTTGTTTCTTCCACTTTACTTTGAGGCTACGGGTATAGTGGCTTCTAGTGAAGAAGAGGCGGCTACGACTAAAGGTGTGGGGCGGAGTATTCCACTACTGCCATTTACTTCTCTTCCTGCGGAGAATACCGCCATTGGTGCGGAGGATACATGTGATGCCGCCAAGCGACGGAAGAAGAAGAAAAGACGAACGAAATTGTATGAACAACTTCGAACAGGAAAGTTACAGCTGACAGTAGATGAAGAGGAGGAGGAGGAAGAGGAGAAGGATTCCTCTGATGATGATAATAATAACAATAACAGAAATAATAATAATAATAATAATAATAATAATAATAATAATAATAAAGATAATAACGATACATATGCAGTGACGGATAACTTCAAGGGTATGCGAAAGGCGGAGCGGGAGTTGCAGCAAGATAGACGTGAGTATAAGGAATTGAAAATTGTTTCTGATATGATCTCCACATTGTTGCAGCAATGCCGTGACTTGTCTGCGGCCCATAAAAAGAACAATGACAATAATAATAATAATAATAATAATAATAATAATAATAACAATAATAATAATAATAACAATATCAGTGAAGAGTGCCCTCTCCATATTGGTCTGGTAGGTCATCCTAATGTAGGCAAGTCAAGTCTACTCAATTGTATTCGCGGCACTAAAGTCGTCTCTGTTTCCGCAACACCAGGGCACACCAAACACCTGCAGACGATTCCCCTTCCATCTGAACATGTTGTGTTGATTGACTCACCGGGTCTTGCCTTTCCTGTTCTTGGACTCCCGCGACCTCTGCAGGCCGTTATCGGCACGCATCAAATCGCACAAACGCGGGATCCACAGAGTGGGGTGGCGTATTTGGCCACACATTTAAAACTTGAACGACTTTACGGTCTTCGAAAGGTAGATGGTGATGATAGTAGTAGTACTGGGGATAACACCTGGTCGCCGTATGAACTCTGTGAGAGCTATGCAAAGAAGAAGGGATATTTCGTTAAACATGGGAAAGGTGCACTGGATGTACACCGTGGATCTATTGAGATCTTGCAAGAGGCGTATGAAGGACGATTGGTGCTTTTATTTGCACCGCCCGATCCGGCTTGGTTGAATAGTACACAATTCCGTAATGAGGTGCGGCCGTATTTACTGCTGAAGGTGCCACTTGCAGAGGGGGACAGTTAGTGAAGGCGAAATATAATAATGTTTGTCTGTGTCTCATTATTATTATTATTATTATTATTATTATTATTATTATTATTATTATTATTATATTTATCCGTTTCTATCAATCTATCTTCTGTTTTTCTTTTGTTTCATTATTATTGAAATGCGCGTTCGTAGTGTTGGGTGGTGGAGTTTCTCTTTATTCTTATGATCCTACTGTAGTAAAAGTGAAATATGGAAGGTCAAGAAGAAATGTTTTTATTCTTTTATATATATATAATTCCATCTTTGTTGATCTTCTTGTTATACTGTTATGATTAGTTTATTTCTTTTAATAATATATCCATTTACTGTCTTCTTTTTTTTCGTTTTTCCCTCTTGTTTCTAACGCGTATGTATTTATTTATTTATTTCATCTCCTTCACTCCATCAGTAAAGCAGCAGACGCATTAATAAGAATAAAAAAAGAGATAAGGGCGTGAAGTTTGGTGAACGTGAAAAAGAAAAAAAAGAAAAACAAAAAAGCGTATACCTACTTCTTAAACTTAAATTATATATATATATCTATATCTATATCTATGGAGCAGTACGCCTTTGCGGAAGACTACAAGAACCCGCGTGGCATTCCGCGTGTGGAGTACATTACCGACATGCCCACCTTTGTGAAGAACGGCGGTGGTGCCGACACTCTCGTCAGCAATCTCCTTGTCGAGTCCTCCAAGTATGAACACATGGAAAAGCGTCTGGTGAGCAGCATTGCCAATCTGGATTACAAAATCCCTACCATTAAGAAGACTCTACAGGCATTAAATTATCTTAAGAAACGCCTGCAAGAGGAAAAGGGGGAAGAAGGAGAAGAAAAGTCTGTGCGATCTTACTACTGCCTCACCGACTCGGTCTTTGCAGAGGCCGATGTCTTACCGCAGGAGACCGTTCATCTCTGGATGGGTGCGAAGGTGATGGTGGAGTACAGTTTTGATGAGGCCGCACAACTGCTAGAGAAAAATCTCAAAAACGCCGAGACGAATCTGAAAGCCACAAAGGAGGATCTCGCCTGGGTGCAGGAACAACTCACAAATCTGCAGATTAACATCTCAAGGGTGTACAATCACGATTTAAAGAATAAGCGGAAGGAGGATGACGCAGACGCGGAAACGGCATAATATACAGGTGTGAAGGATGGAAGAAAAATAAGAAGAAAGAAAGAAAAAAGTATTATTTATTTGTTTTGAAAGAAAGAGAAGAAGAAGCAGAAGCGGGAGAGGTAAAAAAATGAGAAACCCACCAATCGAAGAAGAGACATTGGAAAAGAAGAAGAAATGGTGGGAAGAAGCACTACTGCTGCTTAAAGAGAAGGAAGTGAAAGAAACAACGGTGCATTAATTTGATTTTGGAAACTGGCGCCCAACATTATATACATAAATGGGTAAAGTAAACATATATATATATATATATATATATATATGTTATTATTACTCTCTCTTTATATGTGTGTGTGTATGGGCATGCCTGTGTGTGTGTGTGTAATGGTGGAGAAGGTGAGAAGAGAAGAATAGAATGGATGAGAGATCGAATCACACTGCGCCACGTGTCGTGTTTAACCGAATGAAAAAAAAACGAGAAAAAAAACCCGATAAATGTCGTATTACGTATTTGGTTCTACACCTTTTATCTATTACTATGTCTCTTTCTTTTTTCTCTCTTGAGTGTGTATATGTTTCTCTGTGTGTCTCTGTATTATTGTTGTTGTTGTTCTTTTCTTCTTTTCTTTCTTCTTGTTTGATTCATTTCCTTACGTTAAATCATTTGGGGTGATTGAATGCGTAGGGCGGTCTGGTCTAAGTGAGTGAGTGAGAAAGAAAGGAAGAAAGCCCAACGGAATAGCAAAGGTCCATTACAAGTGAAGGGAAAATACGTACCAAGGATAAACAAGAAGGAAAAAAAAATAAAATAAAAAATCAATAAAGTTTCTTACATTGATTTCTTTTTTTTTTTTATTATTATTATTTCTTTATCTATTATATTTCCATTGACTTTAGTCGTAATGAGTTCCCTGTTAGTATCCTCTACTGCATGCACTTCACTACGGCGATGTCTTTGTGTACGAATGGCCCTTGTTGGCTCTTCTTACACTTCTCCTATTTCTTGTCGAATATCTTCTCAGCAGAGCAGCACAGAGAAGATGTGTAATTTCAATGTAAGTACAGTACTAGACCAGTTGCGACTGCACACATCGAGGGAACTTGCTTGGGAGAAAAAACTCAATAGAAAAAGGGAAAACCACCCATCCCAACAAGAGTCACCGTTAGAAGAAAAAGAAGAAAAAGTACCATCACAACCACAAGAACAGCAAGAAGTAAAGAAGGAAGTGTTATCGATGGAAGAAGTCATCTCATGGTGTGAAGAGTTATCCAAACCGGAGATAATGAAAACGTGCTCAGCAGAGGAGTGGTCAGAAGCCGTCCAACTACTCCTACACACTATGGCAAGAAGAAGTAGACATCACACTCATAGCAATAGAATAATAACAACAACAACAACAACAACACACATTCCCTCTGAGAAGGAAGAATCTGAAAAGATAATAGACACTACGTCACCATGGGCTTCTGCCCTGTCTCTCTTTCTTTGTTCAACTCCTCCCAAAAAAGAGGCGAATGCTGGTAAACCACATATGCAGCAAATAACATTATGTGAAGATCTGCTGCGGTGTTGTGTACGTCATGGGGCTCCAGTGAATGTGAGTCGGGCGGTATATCAGACATTAAGAGCATCTTTTTCTTCAGAAACACCACCATCAACAACAACAATGAAAAGAACAAATAGTAGTTCACCCGTCTTCTATAGAATGTACGCACGCTTTCTATTGACGACAGCTGTTCATATGGAGAAGGCATCCGCTCACGCCCTACAAAAGGAGGCACTTCGAGTATTGTTGCTAGATGCTGCCGTAGATGGATGTAAACTGCATCCCCCGGCTCTCCTCTTATCACTTGAATTACTACGCCGTATGGCTACTGATATGCCAGCAAAAACTCCATCGCTATTATCATCATCATCATTAGATAAAGAACAACAAGAATCAGAAAACAGAACAGTAGATGATGCCTTTTGGGATCATCTTCAATGTGGATCAAATATTATGACTATTGCCCGCGATATCTGTAGTTCTGTATTCTCCAGTCAAAATGCATCTCTTTCTATAAAACAGGAAGCGTTCTGTCATCTTGTGGCGGTGGGCATTCATATATCTGAAGAAGAGTTATCTCCATTTGGGCACATTTTTAACAGTAAGGATAACAGAAAGAAGAAATTCACTTTGCAAACAGGAATGGATGGATATCATCATCACCATCACTATCAACAACAACAATTACACCTCTATGTGCAAATTCTCGATATTGTGAGTGATCTATTGAGCAGTAAATCCACGGAACGTGAGACACTAGCGCATATATTGTCAGATCCGTATGTTGTGCATTCTCATCACTCGCAAACCACACATTTTGTTTCTGTATGGCTGATAGAAAACATTATACGGGGACTTCGGTTCTTTCATCATCAGGCTATACATAGTGGTTCTGTAGAAGGGAGTAATAGTACAGTTGAGGCATGGGAACAGTGTACACAAGCTGCATTACGTTGTCTTCAGCGTGTTCTACTTTATTTACCCATATCATATAGAAGACATTCAAAAAAAGATGAACAGGAACAATGGAATGTGCGGTGTTCTCGACAAGAGGCATTCTGTTTATTATTTCAATCCGCTCTTGATGGTGTATTTTATGATGAATGCACACATCCCACTACCCGCAATACTCCCTCTGCTGTGATGATAACCCTCACACAGGCATATAGTGAGTTTGATTGGTGTGGTCCTTCTGTAGTGATTGCGGTGAAATGTCTGCATGCGTGGGGAATGTACGATCTCCTGCGGCGTATCTTCACTAAGGTGTATCGGCGGGATGAAAAGCGATGGTATAGTGAGCAATACAATGCCAATAATAATAATAATAATAATAATAATAATAATAATAATAATAATAATAATAATAATAACAATAATAATAATAATCATACGAATAATCATAATCGAAACGATGATAATGCAGTGTATATTCCACTTCGATGGCGATCGTCACTTTCCATGTCTACCTGTCAATTAGTAGTACAGTCTGCGTGTGATCATAATGATCCTGCAACAGCTGCCCTAGCCATTGCACACATGCTGCGTCGTCTCCTTGTTGTTGAGTTCACTGAATCCATAGAGGTGGAACAAGAACAAGAAGAAGAAAATGAAGAAAGTGATGAAATGTCTAGTACGACGGAGCATTTAATAGAGGGACGAAGTGTGAGTATGTGGACGCGTCTCATTCAAGAAGATCTCATTTCTCGCGTGGATGAAGTATACTGCCGTACCGGCATTGATACATCACAACAGTGGTTGGGTGATTTGGGTTTGGCAAGTGCCGTTGCTGCTGTTAATACTGCTGATGCTGCTGGTACTACTGGTAGTACAACTGCTGGTACTCTCGAGTAACGTCATTAGTGGGTGAGGTGACTGGAGGGCTATCGTAACAGCAAAGTGATAAAGAGATTTATAACGAAAAGAAAAAAAAAACAAGCTTGAAGTTTTATTATTATTATTATTATTATTATTATTATTATTATTATTATTATTATTATTATTATTA